GGGATAATTCTGGCAGCCAAGAATTACGGAGACATCAGTGTGTAGGTGATGCAGAGTGCCTGGTGACCATCATGCATCATGTGGCAGCCTCCCTGGTGCAGGAGCCCTCCTGTGCAGAGACCTGATGGCCTCGCTGCAGCTCAATTTGAGACAAGGATGAAGCAGCCAGATCAGGGTGGGAATTTGGCCCCACAGTTTGTCCTATGATACAGATTTACACCCTACCAGGCAATGGGAAAGCTTACTACACTGTAAGATATGAATGACTGAAAACTGAGTTTATGGGAGGTGGCAAATATGCTGATTTCTGCATTTTTTAACATGGGAGTTTTCTAATATAAAGGAACCTTTGAGCTCTTCATGAATTAGACATAAAGTGGGCAGAAAGTGATAGAAACGAATAGGTATGTGCTCAGCGCTGAAGGTGCCCTGGTAAAAATCTTCCCGCCCTTGCTGATACAAAATTTTTGGAGCAGGTTTTATTGAGAATCCTTTCCAAATTATCCTGAGACCCTTGTGCCATTTCCTTGATCTGGCTGTTATGTTATGGACTTTTCTGATTGCAGAATAAATGCCCTCCCTTGCCCTCCAATGCTCAGCAGAGAAACTTAAAACGCGACTGAAAACCGGAGCCGACCCAAACTAAGTGTGTTTGCAGCATCCCTGCACGTGCAATGGTGGGGCATACGGTTGGTCAAATTGTAAGTAAATTCCTCCCTTCGATGTCAATACTTATTTACCTACTCTCAGTATTAAGGCTGAACGGAGAATTTTTAATTCCTGGGGTTTAAGAGGTTTTTTTTTTTTTGCTATTTTCTTCTTTTAAAGAATTTTGTGTTGCAAGCTGTAGGGTGGCCGTAGGGGGGTGGGTGTGTGGTCCCTCTTCCCGCAGCGCAGTGGGAGGAGGGGGCACCCAGGCACCCAGGCACCTCGTTCTGCCCTGGCTCAGGGCCACCCGAGGGAGTTAAGCGTAGAAGGGGATGTGGAAGGGGATGTGACGAGCCTTTGGCAACACCGCAGCGCTGCCAGCCCCTACGGCAAACCCCGCGAGTGAGGCGACACATTGCCAGTGCTAAAGTGTCAGGCTAAAATTTATCCTTTTCTTAAACTTCCTCACATATGTCAGTTTATGCAAGGATTTGAAAATTATTTACGATTCTTTTAAAAGAAACATGCTTTTTTTTTTCTTTTTTTCTTCACAGAAACAAACCCTTCCATGGCCGGCTATGAAATATGGATTATTTACCTCCAGACTGGGCACAAGTCTGATCCAGTCTTAGAAGTAAATGCATATTTAGTCTTTAAGGCATATTGTTTATCCAGGTAAATACATATTTTGGTATACACATTCTTTATAACACAGTTACGTGGACTAAGTGGAGATTTTGGTAGGCATAACGTTTACCATTGTTTGCCTAGAATGCTAGCTCTGAAAATGTGCAAAAAAGCAGCTTTTACTGGTGATGTTTTTTAACACTCCTGTATCTTAAAACCAGCATAGTTTCTAAAAAAAATATATATATTGAAAAGTTTAAAAAAAGCTGTCTAGCTATGAAGGATACATTTCCTGCCAAGTTATAAACCCTTGAGAAACTGCATTTGTTCAAGAAGTTGTGAGACATCCTTTAATTCAGTATTAGCATAATATCACGATCAGCAACTTATAATTAGAGCATCATTGCTTCTATGTATGTCACCGATGCAATGGTAATTGCAGACCTGAGTTATTGCACAAGTAGGAACTTACGGTGTTACAGACTTTGGGGTTTCCAATGTGGACAACAATCTTGATATAAATATTCAGTTATACTGCTCGGAGCTAAGCCATTTATTTTTCACGTTTGAAAGGTGGGAATAAATATAATAATATTTGCCCGACAGATATGAACAGTATGGGTTAATCCTTTGAAGAAGCATAGAACATACCTTCAAACAGATGCCTAAAGCAAATACACCCCACAAATTAAAGGGTGGGTAGATTTTGCAAAATGTTGTGTTCAATTTGCAGCAGTCTGCACCGTCCGTTTTGGAAGAACATCCCAATAAGTCCCAATCTGTACAATTACCAGTTTACCACATGGAACAAATTCACCAAGAACCAAGTTTCTTTATTTGATCAACACCGCCTCCAGCTCCAATCCTGCAAAAATTAATGTCGTTTGACTCTATGTACTATGTCTGTTGAATTAATAAGCACGGCTGTACCTCTTTGTAGGACTGGAGGGCTGAGTGGGCAGAGTCTCATGAGCAGCCTTCAGGAGACTACACCCGGCAGGCACCGAGGGCACACGGCAGCGTGCGCGCGGTCCCGGCACGCCTCGCACTGCGCTTTGCACACACGCACACACACACACATGTCCACTGCTGAACACGCAGGTCTGACTGATATTAAATACCTATTTCATCTAAGGAAGCGCCATTGGCACCTAGAAATGTTTGTGGGTTTTGGTTTTTTTTTTCTTTCACTTCTGACTTGACAATAATTATGTCCCCCCAAATTTAAGTGAAAATTCAGAGATGGGACTGAACGTCTTGTCCATGTTATCCAGTGGCTCTACCTGGTACGAATGCAAACAGTCAATACATAACTATTTTTTTCCCCATATTTAATAAAGCTGCTGCTCATTCTATTCTGTTGCTGGAAATAGCAGGACCCAGATATCAGGAATCACTGAAATGAAATTTCTGATCGAAATACGGGATTTGATCCAGCCACAGTATAGAAACATCTCTCGATTTTATGTGAGATGAGGCGTATGAGTTGGGCTATGCATATCCTTTTTTCTTTCTTCATAAAACTGTACTGACATGATACTTTCTGCAGCACCACTGTTTCTAGCGAATGGATTCTAAAATATAGCACTTTAAAGCTGCAATACAAGAGAGATCAGAATATCAGGACTGTGTATAGTATAATTTGACTTGGTTTTATACTATTTCCTTAAAGAATGAGTTTTGTCATGTTATTCAAGGTTTTAAAAAATGCCACATTTCTGAAAATAGTAACTGCTTAGCACATGGCTGTAAATAATAAGATAGAAATAGTACGATCTGTCACTGAACATACGCAGAGTGACCCAGGACATTTTATTGCCGTATCTTGGAGTCAACATATTTATCTTTATACCCTTTACCAGTAACTACAACAGATTCACTGCATATTCTGCCTACACGTTAGCATGGGATAGTATATATTGAGACTAGTGAAACTCAGAGTCTGCCTTTTCAAAATGCGGGGTGGCTGTAAACTGAATTTGGAACTGCTGAGTATGCACAGCGCTCATCTGGAATTGGTCGCTACGAAAACCTATTGTCGGGAGAAAAAATGTTGTAGTGTAATAATTGTGTCGCCTACTGGAGTTCATATACAAAACAGGGGAATAATGATGTCGATAATGGTTTTATTATTCTTGTCATCAACCATTGTTTTGTAAGAAAGTCAAGATCTATCGGGGTCACCAGGGGGGTGTTGGCCATAGTCATGTCCCAGCGATTTACACAGATGGCATTTTTAAATTCAGCTGTAAACTGTGAGCAACGTTTTGTGTTAATGCTGTCCAGGGCTGTTTAAAAAATAAAAGTTAGTAACATTCTATGCTATTTTGAAACTCGATCCTTCACTGAGTGAAATGAGTGTTGTCTTGATAGACTGCAGTACCAGGGAATTGTGTATGAGGACTTAACTGCTGTGGTAAGATATGAGTACATCGGTAATGAAGTCCTGTCTGTAAAGATGATTCTATCATGGATGGCAACATGCACTTCAGTACAGTTCTTGGAGCAACCTCATTTTAATATATATATATGTATTTTATATATATATGTATATATATAAAATTCTGCTTGATACTTCATGTATTTTCAGATATCTAATATTTAAAAGCATCCTTTATCATTGCTAAATTAGCCAAACCAGTAGAAAATCAAGTGCAAGAAAAATACCAATTCACATAGTTTTTGCCAGTAATACAAAAGGGACTCTTCAGCTTCTCACATTTACAGCCATTTAGGAATTTTGATTTAGAATGACTAAGGGAAAAGTTTCTACATTCAAAAGATGTCTCAAAACAATTTGCGTTCTGTCTTGTTATGGGAAAACTAGTTTTTACAGAGATCACCGACTGGTTAGTGGCGGTAGATGGAAAACAGAAAAAGGAGTTGGTGCTATCCTTTAGGCAATCGCCTAAAAACATGAAGTCTGAAGCAGTTCGATGACCCCCTGGAGATGGGAGAGGAGGTTTTCCTTTTAGCCTATAGCACCTTTGTCCTCAGCTGGAGATTTGTTATGCTCAAAAGGATGCTTTAGCATTTCCCAAAACACATTCCAGATTAGTTGGAGAGGAAGAGGAAAGTAGTGTTTTATGAAGGCACACCCATGCTGAATTTGCAGGAAAAAGGAAAGAAAACAGAAAGCAGTACTGCACAGTGCAGTTATAATACAAGGCTCATTCTTGAAACCTGAATATCATGCTAGAAGAAAATCTAGGTATGTGTAATATTTTGAAGAAATACTTTGAAGGCAATATTATTTGATTTTTTTTATCAAAAAAGAAAAAAAAATGTTTCTGTGTAAATGTGGATAGAATGCTATCTAAGAAGGGAACTGAATATTTGTATTGCAGCCTTAAAGAAGCACATTTTTACTGCAATATTTTTTTTTTTGTAAACTACGGTCTGCAACTCAGCAGACCATGACTGAATGCTTTTGAAAACTTGTAGATTACAAACATGAAATCACAATTAATATCCTCTAAAAGTAATTTCAGAGCTTTCACGTCTTAAAAAAGGACAATGTGTACTGCTTCACAAGGTAATGCAGCTAATCAAAAAAAGGAGTAGAATTAAAGTATTTACATAATGAGCAATTCTACAGAAGGCGATCATCCCCATGTAAGCACTGCTGATTATATCCCACGCTGCTTTTAACAAACTCTACCAGATTGGATCCAGTCATCAGCACTTTCAGAGAATCCTTAAAAGCCTTTTATGGGTCTTTACACTTAGTGCAGAATGATGTTCTTCAGGTAGAATATGCTGGTGAGGGAGGACAGTGTCAACACAAGGTACCAACAGGAGAAGAGGACTTCGGCATCACCGGTGATCCCATACTGGGCTGTACTGGGAGCTGCAAAGAGAAGAAAAGGGGGCTAAGTGAAAATTTCCACTCTTAGATCCCCACATTCTTCGTTTTCATTAATTCTTCTAAGGTAACTATTCGGGCAGCAAGAGCATTCTTCTGAAAACTGGAGAAAATGCTGCAAAGGTAGCCAAGCCCTCCTGCTACACCACTCAGTGAATATTACTTTTTGTTTTAAAGAAGATAAATCATTATTAAGGCAAGCATTTAAAAATGTGAGTACTTAACATCAGATGAGTGCTTCATGTTTAAACAACTGAATAATTTATCTGTTTTTAAGTTACTGAGCATTAAGATATCCACTGAAATCAATGAGAGGTGAATATATTTAGCTCTGTTGGAAAACAACTCATTTTCTGCCTGACTTTAGAAGCCAAAGTTTGTCAATTTTGCTTAGCCAAAGAGATTCATATTTATTTTCAGTCTCTTTGAATAAATTGTATTTACTTGCTTTAATACAAAGCCTTTGTCAAATTCCTAAGTAAATATTACAGTAAGTGCATGCAAAAAAAGAGATAAAATATGAGAAAACTGTGTTGAGAAACAAGTTGGGAGACCAATCATTTGCAGCAGTCACGAGCATCTGCTGGCCATCCTGCCTGCAGCACGGGAACGGACCCGGGCAGAAACCGATGATTTTGTTCTTAAAAGGCCACAGGCAGGAGGAAGGAAAAGGACCTGGTACCTCTCCCTGCACCAAGCTGAGGCTATCAGGATGATGCTATTGGGATGTTTGGCTGCTAAATAAACATTGTAGGATCACTTTGGCTGGCAGATTTCTGTACAAAATTTCTCTCAAATCAAATATTTTTTCTTTTATATGATGCATGAAAGCCCAACCTCTTACAGAAATACACAGCATCCCGTGCTCTTTGGTTGAACAGTGGTATCAAAGGTTTTGCTTTCTGGACTATTTGAATATAATATAGATTATTCTAAAACATAATATGCATGCAAGTCTTGTATCGAGTGCCATTTCTACAAGTAGGCATCACTTATGTCAATGGCACTTTATTTAGATACAAGTTGCGGAATTTGCTTTTTTGCCTAGACTGACCCAATGTCTGCCAGAAACATGGAGCAAGACTGAGCCAGCTTGGTGCCCTTGTCCTGGTGCTCAAGGCCTTTTCCTTGCAGAAGAAAGAGGTGTCAGAAAGGCAGAAGGGGAACAGAAATTTCCAGACTCATTCCTGATGACCCGTCTGGGTGAGCTGGGGATGCTCAACCCAAAGACTTGGCTGAAAAAGGGAGAAATCACTAACATGGTTACTTTGAAAAACACATAAGCCATGTATGAACAAAGGAGAGGCCACCTTGGAGCCCAGGGTTGGTGGGGGGTTGGATACTGCGCGGAGGATCCTGTCTCTTCTGCAGGATCTCTCCTTTCACCCTGCTACATTGCCATCCAGAGATGTCCTCAAGACACTGGGCTATCTGGACTGAGAACACCAAGAGATGGTCTGAAGAGCAGACTTCAGCCAACAGTTCTACTCTACATATACATGGGAGATGGCTACACAGAACAGGTACCAATGGTGCAGAACACTGTTTCCCTGGGGCCAAGCCAAAGCTTGTCCCACCGCCTTGCCCAGAAGCAAGCCACCTCCAACAGCACCACTGCCCCTCGCCAGTGCCAAGTCCACCTCTGGCAGGGAGACACCAGAGTGCAGTGCACACAGCGCTTCAGAATAAGCAAAACACCAAATCCTCATGTGCTTCCCTTTTGGGCAGAGAAGAGGAGGAGAAATAAAGCATCCCTGATGGCAGACATGAGCCGTGCTGCCTGAGTGTCCAGGAGGCTTGCATGGTATGGGCAGGGTGGAGCCCAGGGAGGAGAGCAGGACCTCACTTGGCAGCATGTGCAGGGAGTAGGTTTGCTTTTGCAGATGCAGTCTCCCGAATTTCAAGTCTTGTTCAATCTGAACACTGAAACATAAACATCCCTTTGCTTTTTATACAGAAATCTGAGCTACGTGCTACAGGGTCCATTTTCAGTGTATGACATTTTATTAGGCGCAGAGTATGTGATAAAACCAAAAATCATTCATATCCCCTCCCCCCCCCCCCTGCCATATGCAGAAAGGTTCAGGTAATAAAAAAATATTACAAGACGAAGCTTGATTTTGAAGCTTAGTTTAGTGACTTATAACCATGACTAACTGCAGGACAGGGCGCTCTCTTCTCTTCTCATTAAAAAGGATCTTTCTATGACAAGTCAGTATGACAAATCAACATTTAATTTATTACAAAAACCAGGCTAGCAAGCTGAAGCATAGCGTAGGTGGTATTTCATTTTATCATATTAAAAGACTTTCCCCAACGTAAAGATAATTTGAACTATGGTGGCTATAAAAGCGAGTGAAAAATTATGTAAATCTGATTTCCTGCATATGAACCAGTACTATCTTTCTAAAGCTTATTAAATCATATCTGGATTGTTTCAGCACAAAGGTACTAGGTGAATTAATGGGGGAAAAATACATAGAGTTGGGTAGATAATAGAAAGGAGTTACGGTTCCCAAAGCTGGCTAAGTGGAAGAATTTGATGTGAAAGAAACCTGAAGGAGAAGCAAATATGGACCAGTTTAAGTGACTGGACTCTGCTGGGTTTGAATAAACTGCTCTGAAGGCTGAGTTCATGTGGTAGGCAGATGCCAAACAAGCGCAGGGGCTGGTTTTGCTGGCAATGTATTAGCCCTGTGGAACCCCACCATGTCCCACACCTCACCCGCCACCGCGGAGCTAGGGTGTTGATGCTATGGCTGGATCTGACAAACAGGGTTTTGATTCAAAAAAATCATTTAACAAGCATCTCTAAGTTTCTTTAAACTTGTCTTTGGCATTACAATAAAGAATGAAATCCAGCTATGCTGCGTGACTTCCAGGTTCACTGGAAGAGCTCTGAAAGAGCTTGAACTGAAATTTAAAATTCTTTTCCAGCCCCTCTAATACCTGCTCCATTTCTTCAGATTCCTTTCAAGAGGGCAAACTGGTGTGAGCCTGCTGGCATTAGGGCCTGCTGATTAGTACCTGCTGGGTAGAGTTTCACTTACTGAGACCTGCAGTGACGTTTGCTATAGAAAACCAAAATAAACCCAAAGCTATTCACATTTGCGTCCACATGGCCCCACCAGTCCCCGCGAACAAAGACATTGCTGTCATTGTGGAAATGTCCCCAAAATCCATGGCGAGCCAACAGGCACACTGATCAGAAACTGGCTTTAAAGGGCTTTTTTTTTTGAACTGTATACTGCAGGTTTAAAAAGCCATGCTATTTTAATTCAAACTGGAACCAGTAGCTGGAAAACATTTGCCATATGCCTGAACACGACCAGCAGTTCGGCCTGTGTATCGTGGTGCGCTTCTTCAACCCTTTAATTTATCTGACGGTGGAAAAAGCCTGACTGCTCTTCAGCTTGCTTTAATAGTCTCCTTTTATAATTAGCAGCCCGAATTAGAGCACCCTTTGGGCAGCTTGGCTGGCAGAAATGGACAAGGCGCTGCCTGCGCATTCAGCTGGGGAGCACCTGGTTGTCTCGCGTACGGTGGATGGTGACATATTGATTGGGAAAGCCTTGCCAGATCATTATGCTTCCTAACTTTAATTTGACTTCTGGAAACCTCCAAGTGTTCCCAGTCTCCAAAGTGAACTTATAAGCAGGTGTCCCTCTCTCACTGTTAGTGGCAAATAGGTTGCATCAATTACAATGTCACGGTATGTCTACTGGATGGCACACAGTTTAAAATGTCATGCTTTTGGCTCTTAAAAATTCTTAAAAATTAATAAGCTTCTGCAGTCCTTTTCTTTTTCACCTCAGGATTTTGATGAACTTTTCCTGTGGCTACCTGATTGTTTTGCTGGCAAAAGAAAATTTTGTTCTCAAATATTAATAAAAATCTGTAGATATTTTCTGGTGTTTTACAAACTTTAAAAAGTAAACAAATTTACTTTTAAAATTTAAAGATCCTTAGTATGGTGTGCTTAGTCATGATTCTAGAGTATATAATTATTTTTTATAAGTACTAAGTAGTCCTTGCTTTCATTATCATGGCTCTGTAATGTTAGGCATTGCAATTTGTGCTTGGACTGGTTAATTTTCATAGGGTTTTTTGGAAGGTTCTCCATGTCATACTAAACCCCTTAGTTTAGAAATGAATGAAAAGGTTTAAATGTTTGAAAATAGCATAGAACTCACAGCTGCTTTTTTTTGCCCCCACTAAGATCTTAGCACTGAATGTCATTGTTTTATACAGACACACACACTTGCAGTTTTAATATTTGCAGAGCGAGATAATGGTGGAGGTATGTATGATTAGGTATTAAATAAAAGCATGAATTATTTGACTCCCTGATTACATCTGCAGCTATCCTGGGCATTTCCATAATACCGATCACCACCATTATAATGGAGCACTCTGTTTATAACTGATTTTACAGCGTGTGAAGCTTTTGGTACACAGAGGGGGGAAGGAGAACAGTGGTTGGCCTGCAGAGAGGTGTTTATCTGGCTAAAGATTCTCATCCAGAACAATGTCTTGGTAACTATCTGAAATAGAAACCAAGGTCAAGTTGTTTGACTCCCCTTGTGCTGATCTGGCAGTGCAAATTCAATTCAGAGCTGTGGTAGTGGTACCTTAAAAGACAGTGAATTTCCATCTAGAAGAAGATTAAAATGAACTTGATGAAAAGTCTCATGTTTGAAATATAAAATGACCTAGAATTTAGAAGATGCAATAACTTTAAAATATATCAGCTTCAGTCATTGAGAGATGATAATTCACTTTCTTGTTAATGGAGAAGTGAAGCCCTGCGCCTAGGAGCAGGGTTACTGGGTGCTGATGGTCCCACTATCAATGCTCGGGTGTTACTGTGTTTAACCCAAGGCACTGGTTGCCATCCATGTCTGACTAGAGGAAACGGTTGCAAAATTTCTGGGGGGAGAGACTCCTTGTCTATGGTGCCTGGTCTGGCAGGGCAGGGGCAGGGT